GCGTATACGATTTCATCAGCCGTTTCGAATATGGTGACCTCAGGTGACCTGGGTGACCTTGGGAGGTCACATGACCGTTGTGGCCTATGGCAGCCATTTTATAACTCAGGAACTACTGGGCCGATCGCGACGAAAACACCACCAGGCGATTCAGCGTATGCAATTTCATCAGTCGTTTCGAATATGGTGACCTCAGGTGACCTCGGTGACCTCAAAAGGTCAACTTAACGTTTTCGCCTATTGCAGCCATTCTATAACTCAGGAACTACTAGGCTGATCGTGACGAAAACACCACCAGTCGATTCAGCGTATGCGATTTCATCAGCTGTTTCGAATATGGTGACCTCAGGTGACCTCGGTGACCTTGGGAGGTCACATGACCGTTATGGCCTATGGCAGCCATGCTATAACTCAGGAACTACTGGGCCGATCGTGACGAAAACACCACCAGTCGATTCAGCGTATGCGATTTCATCAGCCGTTTCGAATATGGTGACCTCAGGTGACCTCAGTTCCTGAGTTATAGAATGGCTGCCATAGGCCACAACGGTCATGTGACCTCCCAAGGTCACTGAGGTCACCTGAGGTCACCATATTCAAAACGGCTGATGAAATCGCATACGCTGAATCGACTGGTGGTGTTTTCGTCACGATCGGCCCAGTAGTTCCTGAGTTATAGAATGGCTGCCATAGGCCACAACGGTCATGTGACCTCCCAAGGTCACCCAGGTCACCTGAGGTCACCATATTCGAAACAGCTGATGAAATCGCATACGCTGAATCGACTGGTGGTGTTTTCGTCACGATCGGCTCAGTAGTTCCTGAGTTATAGAATGGCTGCAATAGGCCACAACGGTCATGTGACCTCCCAAGGTCACCGAGGTCACCTGAGGTCACCATATTCGAAACGGCTGATGAAATCGCATACGCTGAATCGACTGGTGGTGTTTTCGTCACGATCGGCCCAGTAGTTCCTGAGTTATAGAATGGCTGCCATAGGCCACATCGGTCATGTGACCTCCCAAGGTCACCCAGGTCACCTGAGGTCACCATAATCAAAACGGCTGATGAAATCGTATACGCTGAATCGACTGGTGGTGTTTTCGTCACGATCGGCCCAGTAGTTCCTGAGTTATAGAATGGCTGCAATAGGCAAAAACGTCAAGTTAACCTTTTGAGGTCACCGAGGTCACCTGAGGTCACCATATTCAAAACGGCTGATGAAATTGCATACGCTGATTCGACTGGTGGTGTTTTCGTCGCGATCGGCCCAGCAGTTCCTGAGTTATAGAATGGCTGCCATAGGCCATAACGGTCATGTGACCTCCCAAGGTCACTGAGGTCACCTGCGGTCACCATATTCGAAACGGCTGATGAAATCGCATACGCTGATTCGACTGGTGGTGTTTTCGTCGCGATCGGCCCAGTAGTTCCTGAGCTATAGAATGGCTGCCATAGGCCACAACGGTCATGTGACCTCCCAAGGTCACTGAGGTCACCCGAGGTCACCATATTCGAAACGGCTGATGAAATCGCATACGCTGATTCGACTGGTGGTGTTTTCGTCGCGATCGGCCCAGTAGTTCCTGAGTTATAGAATGGCTGCAATAGGCGTCAATGCCGAGTTGACCTCTTGAGGTCACCGAGGTCACCTGGGGTCACGAGCTTCGAAACGGCTGATAAAATCGTACCCCCTGATTCGAATGATGTTTCGTTCGTTCCGATCGGTCCAGTAGTTCCTGAGTTATAGAATGGCTGCAAGGGTGGCGGTCGAATAGTGTTGTCCTCCCAAACGAAAGTTGGTTTTTTGGAGGATGCTCTTGCGTAGACATATTTGGCGCACGTAATACAAATGTGAATTGTTTATAAATGAGATTTGAGGGAAGTGGAAATTATTTTAGTGATTGATGACGATTGGATATCTTTAAATAGTAATGTTTGATATTAATCTAAGGTTATTTTATTAGAAAGCGATTATTATCTCTTGATTTATGTTTGCGCGCCATAAATCGCCGACCGTTACAGCCCGCAAACAGCTGATTTCCTCGCGAAAATGTTCCCGTGGCTCCTCTGAAACGGCTCTCCTCCAAGCTCATCCAACCTCATCCGAGATTTTTTGGGAGGAGCGACGGGAACAGACCCATAGTCATAGCACTGCGGATCCGTTACCAATGCAACAATACAGCATGGTCACATGTAGGTATATTATGCCACAAACAAAACATCAAAACACAGAGGAACATAGCACAAACAGGTCACTCCGTTCCCGGATGAACTGGAAGGTGACGCGTCCCACAGATGCGGCACTGCCGCCCACCCCTGGCCCACCGTCCCCACCACCGCCGGGCTCTGACCGGGCCGGGCAGCTCACTCCTCCGGCTGCGTGACCACCGGCTGGAAGCCGTTCTCGTCGGCCGTCCACGTCACCTCGTAGGTCTTGCCGTCAGGCGCCTGGAACGAGTACGAGCCGCTCATGGCCACGCCGAACGCCTCTCCGATCATCTTGTTCTCCCCGATGGCGTCGGCCATGCTGCCGTCCTCGGACTCCCAGGCGTAGCTGAACTTGCCGTCACCCTCCATGGACCGCTCGTCCTTCAGGATTTTCACCTGGGCCGTCTCTTGCGGCGCAGGAGCCGCCGCAGCCACCATCACCAGCGCAAAAATCACCTGGCGAGGGACGAGGTCAGGACAAGGTCAATTACAATGCATATTCCAGAAGAGCGTGCTTACACAGGGGGTGAAGATATTCGTCGCTTTATCAACTAAAGATATGTATTTGATGCATCAATAGACGGTAGTTTATACAATTGTTCAGTTTATTTATCCTAGTGAGCAAAACTATAATGCAGATAATTTACTACAGATACAAACAATAAGTCTACCTAAGATCCATAACGCCTATTTCACCTGATAGGTACAAAATTCCCTAAACGACGAAGCACGCCATCGACGGAAGTGCCCACTCACCAGCAGCTTCATCTTGTCGTCTGCTCGTTCTGTGAGGTTCTCGATGCGTGTTGTGTGCGTTGGTCTGCAGATTCGCGGACGGAGCGCTTATATAGCGAACACCGAGCATCTGCAGGCTAGGTTATGACCCGCGGGTCCGCGCGCGGTGGCATGCTGCGCACCAAACGCTGATTTAGTGGAAGGTATCAGGTTTGTTTACTACCTTGACGGGTTCAAGGTTATACTTCCTTTGCACCAGCTCATTTATTGACATTTGACCTGACCGGGCAGCGTAACTAACAAACTACGCAAGCTTATAACGCACATTCGAGACGGAGCGCATTGTCTCATTTAAACGGTTTCCCGGAACGATTGATACATGACTGGGGATATCAGTATAGGTAGTGATGGTGTGGGCCAAAACAAAACTGCGCTGAGGAGAGGATGAAGTTAAAAAGTAAAGTCAGCAAGGTAAAGTTAACCGTTTTCAATTGAAACATCGAGTGAAATTATGGCCGATAGATGATAAGAGTGAGATTGGCAGGTCGGCAATTACCAAAATTCCCCTCTCGCAAAGTTAGTTGACTACATATAGCGCCTCAGTTTACCAAATATTCCAGGGCACGTCATCCGCTATGCTGTTCATATGTGGCTCGACCCACTAATCTTAGGTAGGTACTTCTATACAGTACCTAAGCTATTTCAATGTTTTTACTTTTATCGTAAAAAAATGCACCAGAATATGTAAAAAATATTGATTTATTTATTCATTAATAAGTTAAATCCGAAAGTCGATTCGCCGATGATAACTTCGGCACAGGAAATTAAAAGTACCGCGGGTACTTGGCGGCTCGGCTATCCCACGTGTCACTGCAGAGTGCAGAAGCAAAGCTGCTGCGAAGCCAAAAGTCGAATTGTTTAGGTGGTCTAACTCAAGGCCCTAAAACATAGTTAAGCTAATGTGCATTGTTCAATGTTCATGCATCGAGATTGGAGGCGATCCACCTTAGACATCGAGCACGACGCAACATGGTAAAATATGTTTTTGTTTCTTGAGAGGATGCGAAATGGCCTGGGAGCAGTAAAGACGTTAATCTTATTGAGGGTACTTGTAGCATACCTATAGGTACCTATATCTCGGCAGAAGTTCAGTGGAGAGTGGCTACTAATAAGGTCACTTTCGGGAAGCCTGTGGAAGGACTGAGGCCAGCATGGGCAAGCATTCCTCCACAAGCGTTGGCTAGTCCTGTGACCAGCGTGTCGATTGCATGCGTCGTTACATAGCTCCTCTCGTCAACTACATCGGGTGATAAAAAGAAGACAGTGCAATTATTTTTCCTATCTTATACGCCGATCGACAGTGTTCGGTCAATTCTGGAACACCCTGCATGTATATTGGTACGCAGTTGTGCACCAGCAGGTGGCTTGTTTGCATCCACAGAGGGGGGTGATAAGCATCAGCGGCGCGTCACTGCCGGAAGCTGAGTGATGTCACGGATGCTGCAGCGATGCGCACGTCCTCTCACCCTTCCCGTGGCGCAGGAACGGGCGGCGGAGCAGCGTTTTACAGCCGGCTCCCGCCGAGAGGCGAAAGGTGTCTGCTAGAAATGAAATATGATGGCATTGGCATTCAGAGAGGAATCTTATGGGAACGGAGAGGCTGTTTCCCAACGCAGACTTCTTGTGGTCTGCCAGCACTATAGCATAAACCGCAGATGAATGGATGCATTCTTGATGCAAAACAAGAGCTAATTCACATCATGAATTAGTATGGACATTTATTTTAGCTCGTCAAAACTGCGAGCTCGCTTAGTCTCAATTTTTTTCCATTATTCGTCGGACTGAATGCAAGATATTGCATCCCGGAAACCATTCTGCTAGTATGAACACAAAGTGGCAACTGATATTTCCCCGAACCACTTACATAACCGCCATTCGCCAATTACGTATGCCTACCTCTACCTGCATCACGGCACTGCCGGGGAGCAAGTCATCTCTTTGCTCTATGCCGGTTACATAACCGGCCGGGCTGGGGCGGTCCGAGCCGCCAGCCTCCAATGGGCGGTCAGGGGCGGGCCGCGGCGCTGTCACGAGGACGCTATATCAGAGAGCCGACTGCGGCGGCGCCACATTTATCGAGCCCAGCAACAGGACACCCAGTATGCGTCTGTACGTCGTGATAGTGATGGCGCTCTCAGCGGGAGCCAGGGCCGGCCAGGTGAGCTAGGGGAGCTAAAAGGGAGCCAGGGTGAGCTAGGGGACCAATGGCCAGGTGAGCTAGGGATGCCAAGGTAAACAGGGGAGCCAGGGGTGCCAGCGCGGGTCAGGTAAGCTTGGCGACTAGTTAGGCGGAGCCAGGTTGGATTGGAAGTCGCGTGCCATTTTGAGAGATCCAGCCTTCAGAACAAATTGTGAGAAGGAAAAAAAACAGACCAGTGTTGACAATTTGTCTTACATGTTTTGATGCTGGCAGGAGATACCGAATGCGTTATTTGTTCTCCTTCATGTACTGTACATAAGTAAGGATGTAGTCCGGTAAAAGTAAACGGCACTTAAACAGCTTCTCACAGGAGTCAGGACCAAAGAAACACCAAAACTTTCCTTATTCGATCGTTCCAACTTATTTGTAAGTCCAGAAAAGGTTCGAATGAAAGTTATTTTCCAATTTCAGCTACATAACATGAAACGAGAAGCTCACAGCTCACGTGACTTCTTTTTGCGTGGCAGGGCGGCGGCATTCTGCAGACGATCCGGAACGGCCTGAACTCGGCGGCCGCGACCATCACCTCGCCGTTCGTCACGACGGAGATGGTGCCGTACACGGTCGACAGGACCGTCATGGACGCTGACAATAAGGTGGGTGAGACAGCGAACTGCCTGGGAGGGAACGCGATTCGGAGTGCTCACGACCAGGGGGCGGGTAGCCACCGCCCAGCACCCTGGATAAAGCTCGATTCAAAGCAGCGAGCACCGTGATTATGGATCGGCACAGCTCTGGCTGACGATTCTATCGTAAAAAGTGAAGAACTTAGGTGACAAGAGCTGCGCAAATACCATTATAACCAGAATTACCAGCCCAAGTCGATGATATCTAGCCTGCCAATCAAGCAGAAACATCATGCTCGTTGCCTTATTGCCAGCAACCCAAGTGCACGCGCTTTGCCAGAGTGTTATCAGCGCAATAATATTGGGAGCTGCCACGCCTACGTAAGTCATCATTTAAATGCCATTTTGACATTGGGCGTAATCTTACTTGCCTCTAGCGGTTAGCCTAACTCATCACCTTGCCTGGTCAATGTAGTCAACCTGACATCTCACTCTTAAGCTTCGAAGTTAGTCTCTATTAACACGACGGTTATTTTGAGCCGCCAGTAAGCGAAAGCGTGAGACATCTGATGCAGATCGCGGCCGCTAGATGGCATTAGAGACAAACGCCTGCAGGTATACTGTACCGCATGACTCGCTCTGTCCAGGCAAACGCCTGCGGGTATACTGCACCGCACTGCTTGCTCTGTCCGCTCAGTATCCCGAGCGCATAGCGTCTCAGGGAAGTGCGCACATGCAAACGGCTAATATTTTGGGAGCGGTGCTCCAAAAGTGAGCCTTGTTCGTCTTACATTTCATTTGTTTGTTTTTCGCAGAGAAATACGAGTATGTCAGATAACGCGATACTAGACGTTTACCTTTGAACTAAAAAAATAACGTAATCAAAGTCACACCGTATCATTCCGCTTTACGCACTCGAATTCAAATTCCCAGCACCGATTACAGCACCTGCGTAGTGTATGATAGCATGAGTCACCAGGTGCGGCGGCGCACACCCAACAAAGGTGACCTCCAGGCTCGACAGTGCCCCGCGGCCACGGGCGCTTATGTAACGCCGTGCTTGCCTCCAGTTCCGCCAGTCACAGTCCGCCGATGGTGAGTTCCGCTCTCACCGCGGCCGATTGGCATGCCCCGGGCGAGGTAGAGATGCAAACATAGGGCGGCCAATGTGAAGGAGATGCAAACCGGCAGCCTCGCTCGGGTGCGCGGGGCTAAACACAATAGGCGAAAAATTGCTGGGCTGCTAGTGCCGGTCCTCCATCATTAAGGAGCGCCCTGACATTTTGGCATAGCCGTTTAACGTTCAATATTTTCACGCGAAATGTGTAAGCACTTGTACTGGGAAATATCTCCAACAGCACCCAGACATAATAGTCCGGTCCTTTCCCGTATTTATCTGCACTCGGTTGTAACGCGGGGTGTTTCCGTTACAGACTGTGCTGTACGAGCAGAGGACGTACCCCGGTCAGAAGTGGGTCTGCACCAGCAAAGTCATCGACACCTCCGAAGGTGGCAGTGACGGCATCTTCATGCGGCTCTTCCGCTACATTAGCGGCGAAAATGAGCAGAGTGAGTACTTATATTTTTCACTTTTTACCGCTTTAATAGCTCCAATTTTATGCTGCGTCCATTCAGGGACGCAGTATAGTAAGCAAATTGGTTTCAAAATATTCAGTTTAAGTCCCGTGCCACGTATCAAGACTATCAACATCAGATCGTGGAACCTGTATCTGGAAACGAATACCACCTGCCTCGAGGCATCCCGCACCCATGCAGTACATCTCCTCCATGTAACCCGTTCTGTGACCTGACCTCAGGTCAGACGGTGCCGATGACCTCGCCTGTCTCCATGCTGCGGGTGCCGCTGAGTCCCGAGATCACCGTCACAGAGGAGGGTGAGCCGCAGAGCCGACTCACCATGTGCTTCTACATCAACAAGGAGTTCCAGGAGAACCCGCCGGCGCCCAGCAGCCCCGACGTCTTCCTCGAGGAGCGGCCCACCATGACCGTTATCGCAAAGTGAGTCGTGGTCTAATGGAGTTGGGGGAGGTGTGCATAGGTGAGGAAAGTAAAGATCACTGGGTGGTAAGGAAAGTTGTTTTTAGTTCAGGCCACTACACGGACTTATACTATGTAGTATGTACTACTCATTGATCGGGTGCTGCTGTGTGTGCTGGCATACTCATAAAAGGGTATGACAAAATGGGTCGACCCTGGTCAGCGTGCGGTTACCAATACTTTATATAAATGCAACGAAACAGTAAAAACGATTACGAGTTTGAACAAAGCGACCGTGCAATGTAACGGTACACTTTCTGACTCGCTCCTCCCCTCTTACAGTCGCGTTGGCGGCTACATGTCCGAGGACGACTGGCAGGACCTGGCCAAGAAACTCAAGGATGACGCCACCGCGAACGGAGAGACTGGCGTGGACTACTCCAAATTCTACCGGTTAGTTCAAGTTCTTAGTGCGAGCAGAGCAAGTGCCGTTTTCTGCTGCAGATAAATGGGATTTTAACGCACACTTTAAATAGATTAAATTAAAATAACTACCGGCCGAAAATCTGTTAACAACTTTTATCTATTTTGTTATTTATGTGGATATATTGAGTCTTTCAAATGTCATATTCATGCATGTCCTAAAATGAAATAAAATAAACTGTGCCCTGGTCGGTACAAGGGAATGCTCGGCGCTCGCCCTCGTCACAGAGTTTCACTTCTAACGTCACTCTCTTTTTCACAGCGCCGGATACGACAGCCCCATGAAGCTGTGGAACCGGCGTAACGAGGTCTGGTACGTGAAGCAGGTCTAGCTGACCAATAAGAGGTCGCCACTCGCCCCCGTCCGGAACCAAGCGTCCTTGGCGGTGTCGATTGTCGGACGCTGTTTTGTGTTCACTTGTGTTCATTGTTATGCTGTTGTACTGTGATGCCCCTGAGCACAATGCGAAGACGTGGGCATGACTCGAGATGCAGTCGCAAGTGGTCGTAGCATGATTCTGCGGATGTCGCGTCACTCGCGACGTTTTATTGTGAAACTGTAAGACAAATACATACATATAGACAATACGTGTGAATTTTTATTTGGTAATTGGTAACTTTACGTTTGCCTCTTTATTTATTGTTGTTACCCCATTATGAAGTAGTTGTGGAGGTAAGAAAATTATTCTTATCTGACGTCAAAGAGAATCGTGCTCTCACCATGCCTGGTTTTCAACCTGGGGACGCTTTGCGCTAAACAGATAAGGCTTAGTGAGCGTTCCTTGAATCAGAGGATGAACAATGCACACCAGTACTTAAACCTGACATTTCTTCGACACACCGACGACGATTGGAAGTAAAAAAGGGGGATCGGACGGTAAATGCCCGAAAGCAGGTCGTGGTAACAGCTCCACGAATCGCGACGCAGGAATCACTGTCGTGTTGCGATCACCAGTTCGTCACATTAGCAGGTAAATAGCTACAAAGCACGTATACAGTCCGGATCTATAAAAATGGTACAAAGTGAAGAAGAAAGATAGCTAGCATATGAAACATGGCACAACACATTGTTCTTGTTGATCAAAGCCAGCTGAGTAGATGCTTCAAGTGCTCATCCTGGACCAATAAACTTTGCACATTTGAGTTTCAGCCACAGTTTCAGAAATTAGATGAGATCCTTAGCAAAACGGATTACCTAAATGGTAGTTGCACAGTTTATTTGAACAAAAAATATCACATAACTTAGGATCAAATTAAAGTGTGGCCTCGCATGAAAATAAGAAGATAGAAACGAGCGTCAAAAGATTTATGTGTCAATCATTGCCAGAGATGAACGGGAAAACAAACCGATCCCGTCCTCATTCCTCAATTACACAGAGCCCAACAAACCTATGTAAAAATTTGCAATACCGCATCCCTTCCTTGACCCTTTCACAACCGGAAACTGGGGAATGGGGTAACGTTAAATGATATTATAATAATTGCATAGGTCCTGTGTACCCCAAGCAAAAAGGATACAATGTCAACAGGCATGACAATTGCTTTTTATAGCATATTCAGATAATTTTTAACACCAATTCGGAAGATCGGGAACACAACACATCCTAACATCAATATGCCAAGCGGACAGAGTGAAATCCGGGTTTCCCAGCGGCCGGCAGATAGTTAACTTTTTGTGGGAGCTATCGGGAGCATTCACCTTTCACTAGTCACTGCTAGATCTCTCTGACCCCTCCGGGTTCAGTTATCCTATCGAAGAAAGAGCTGAATCAGCCGATGAACTGAATTCACCTGAGCTGAATCCATCAGGTCCCTGACCCGAGCCGGAACATGACGCGGCAACAAATGAAGGTGACCGCACACAAAAAGAGGAAAGGATCCTGGAAAAACGACGCCGTAAGACTCGCCTGATTTGAATTTGAGTAAGTGGTTGGGACAACGACACAGTCTGAGAGGAGACTGCTCGGGAACGGGAAAGGTTGTGAGGTATGTGGTTGGCTAAGAACGTGCAGTCACTTTAAAGTGGTGATACGGCTGCTTTACAACAGGCATAACACACAAATAATGGAGTGCAAACTTGCAGGCGGGAGTACGCTTCGCTGATAACAGCGACTGAAATACGAGGCCCTAAACTGCGTGGGTGCATGCTTCCGCTGCGTGTAGCGCAGCGTGAATCCGGTGTGAAATAACTCCGCATCGCAGCCATCATTTCAAGGGCGGGTAGTTTGGCAGCTCCGAGCGATGACGTACAGCCTAGTCTCACTGCGTGGTTGATACTCGTACTCCGACAAAACGGAGAATAGCTCGAGGGTCACGCATCATTCACCCTGAAATCATAGTATCCACAGAAGTCCGATCCCTTACAAGTTTTCTACCCGGAACGGCTCGTCATGTCAATGTTCAGAGAACCCTGTATTCGCTCAGTAAACCATCATCATTCATCACCCCGTCGAACTCATGGCTGTGATACCGGCTGTGATAGGGCGCCGTCTGGTCGGTGACCTAGAGAAAGCTCAGCTGGAGGTGCGCTCCAGACGCCCACCGGTCACGATAACACAGCTACTGCCGGCCAGAGATGGCCCACTGACCCGCGCGGGTCGACGGGAAAAAACCAGCGACTGGAACCCGCATACAGATGAAACAGTGGGTGGGTGGGTGACTGCGACGATAGGCCGAAAGGGCGAGTGACGGATGAGAAACTGAGCTGTCGATATAAAGGCGATCAGTTTTTGATAAAACGGTGACCCCATGAGAAAGACCATACGTAAAAAGATAGCATAGTAAGATCGGATTTATCGACAGTCGACACGACATCCTTGTTCTGGAATTCGATAGACGTAACAAAAAATAACCGAATACTTTCGTTTAAATCAGTGGCATTGTGGCCTGGAATATGCAACAAGTGATGAATCCAGACGTTGTGTCCTTTTTGTCCCGCAAAACCTTCAAGTAACATTAACCCGGCAGTTGCTGGGGTATTTCGCCACCCGTCGTTTGCTGGGGGGGGGGGGCGAACGCCCCCAGCCGATAACTCGAGAACCAATAGGCTCAGCAAAACGTACCAGGGGGCAAACGAAAGAACGCGACGAGACGCTTCAGACGAGTGCTTTTAAGTTGAATTTTGAGGTCACAGGTCGGGTCAAGGTCAGGTCAAACACCTGAAATCGAACTTTTAGTAGCATGGACTTCAGGACTTCGCAATGGGCGTCTCTCGTCAAGAACTCTGTCAAAACGGTGCACAAGCCTTCATATAAGGCCTACAAGAGTGTCAGATCCATGTAGGGGTCAGTCAAGCATAGGTCAGGGTCAAGGTCAGGTCAACCAGGTAAGCACACATCCCCAAAAATAAAAACTGATATTCACAGCCTGTGACACATGATTTATGGGTAATTTTGGGCGTAGAACACGATGGTAACATTCATTTCATCATATGTGTACGTGTTTGGTTCAAAGAGTTGAATTTAAGAAATGCTTGTATAATGGTCGCGAAGAAGTCACGAGAAATTGCCAAGATTCAGTTCAAGATTTTGGAAAATGCGGAACGATAATCAAAAATCGAAGACAGCCATTTGATTGTTCATGGTATTGGCAGTCTAATGGCATTTACTGCATGTCTGTATCTTTATTCTGTGATTTTATATGCTTTTTTTAACATATGCCGTTTTTGGTCAAACACTCAGAAATCATGACGTCAGTCGGGGGAGGTTTGGTCAATCGTTGTCATTTTTAGCACGTGCTATTTTTGTCACACGTGCTAAAAATGACAACGATTCTGCTATTTTTGACAACGATGAGGCCGATTTCACTCCTCAGGGAGGAAATGAAGATTTTGGAAAGATAAACACTGATTTTGGAAAAGAAGTGCTGCCACCTGGTGCAAGACGAAGAATCCAGCTTTAATATGCCTGTTATTTGTATGGTAGTTTGTTTTGTGGCCTGAAGTTGGAACTTAAAATTGAAGCATCCGAAAATGATCGATATTGATCGAAAACATGATGTTGATGAAAAAAATAATATTTTAAGTTGAGAGAGGAGGCCATTTTATCCAGATGCAGTAGTTTACTTCTTGAAATTATTTTTGCTAATGACGGCTGCTAATTATCCCTCATTACATGGCAGTCGTCGTAAGCAAAAATAATTTCAAGAAGTAAACCACCGCATCTGGATAAAATGGCCTCCTCTCTCAACTTAACATATTATTTTTTTCATCAACATCATGATTTCGATCAATATCGATCATTTTCGGATGCTTCAATTTAAAGTTCCAACTTCGGGCCACAAAAAAGGGTATACTTCAACGTTGGACTACCATACAAACAACGGCCATATTAAAGCTGGTTTCTTCTTCTTGCACCAGGTGGCAGCACTTCTTTTCCAAAATCAGTGCTTGTATTTCCAAAATCGTGATTTCCTCGCTGAGGAGTGAAATCGGCTTCATCGTTGCTAAAAATAGCTGATAGCGTTGTCATTTTTAGCACATGGTTGCCAAAAATGGCATGTGCTAAAAATGACAACCATTGACCAAACCTCCCCCAACTGACGTCACTAAAACCTCGATATCTCAAAATTTTCCGACCAATTTTTTTGAAACTTTGTCACAATAAATTTCAGGCACCTAAATTTTGGCGCGCCTGAGGCGAGCCGTTTTTATGCTATAGGGCGGCGAAAAAGTGGGGACGTTTAACGCCCCTTCCCCCCCCCCCCCCCAGCAGCTCGCAGGTTAAGACATATACTGTAATACGTATGAGTTGCAAATTCAAGCCGTGCCCAACCCCGTGCTGAGTAAAAAGGTACATCTCACAAAACATTGTATTGTATCGAGACTGAGGAACACTAATCGTCATCAATCCATTGCTTAATGTGCATACCTCGCCGACGCAACTTATACCTCGTCCATACCGTGGTGCATACCTCGCCGACGCAACTTAGCTTTACTAGACAATCGGACCACTCGCCCATGAAAATGTGAAAATTGCCGGGAGCACTAGCTAAATGTCCTCCACTCTACCCTGCACGCGACGGTAAAACAAAAAGCATGAAAGTTATAGTTTAATGAGCTTTCACCGTAAAATGATCGCATTAGCCAGTATACCTCTATTCGTAAAACGACAAAGATTAAATAAAAATTTTGTCTTCTTTTGTGCTGCGAAGCACTTTTTGTAAAGGTTGCAATGATTGCAATTGACGGTTTTAGTCGGCAAACAATGTCTAGCGACTGTAGAATGACTATAGAAACAGAAAACTACAGGCCTAACAGACTGAGCCGGTGCCAAGTCGAATATTCTCATCACGACAGACTCTCCACTACATATCGCGAGTCTTAATTCACGACTGCGAGACACCTCAAGATAATGATGTGCGTGCAACCTACCAACCTTACCACGCATCACCAAAAACACGCTCAAAATGTTTTTACAAAAACACACGACATTTGCAGCATGTCTTCAGCAATCAGCATAACCCTTCACAAACCCTCAACAACACAACATTCCCAGCAGCGAGAGACACCTACCGGGCGGATTATTTCCTGCGCTTCTTTTTGTTGCCGGTAGGCGGCGCGCGCGCATTGGGGTTGCGCCGCTCCCAGTTGGGCACCTGCCTGAACCGAGAGTTCCTGCCCAGCTGAGCTGCTCGCGAGTTCACGTCGTTCAGTGAGAACGGCGAGCCGCCCTGCACAAAGTCGTCCGACAGAATGGCGTTTCGGGCCTGCAGCAAACAAAAGGGAAGTGTGAAAATGGAGCACGTTATATTATTGAGTGAAACACGATTGTTGCAATATCAGCTGCAGCAAGTTGCAATCAAAACAAAACTGTGGATATGCACATGACACGAAAACTTAGGCAGAGCCACCATTCGTGAAAACATTCCCTGAAAGCGCAGCAGTGCACTTGAATTGCATCACTGTTTCACAATTATGCTGGGCACGAGGATACCCTTCCCGTCGGCACACGTTCCCATCGTCCCAGCGCCAACCCGCGTATCCCGCCACTGCATCACCTGAGAGCGTGCCGTGGCGCGCTGCTGAGGCAGGGGCTGGTCTTCACACAGTACCGGCTGTACCGAATACTTCCCTCCGCGCGGCAACGGCAGCGAGTACTTGGTGCCGCGCTTGCTGATTGGTTTTCGAGTTGAGATGTGGATCTCCTGCGAGCCGTCAGCTCTGAAAAAGGAACAGAGAGACAGGCTAGGAGACAGATACAATAGTTATCTCTCCATTCGCGAAGACAGACCATTACCGTCTGTGCATCCGTTATCATGCACTTATTTAGCGAAATGGCCTACCATAAACCATCCCATAAGCCACCACAGACGCTCAGTCCGTCGCCCCAACCTTATTTGGAGGCCCTCTCCTCACCTGAGCGTGACAGAGACACGTTTCAGCGTCTTGTTGCCACACCAGGGACAGAATGTCTTGTCCATGTGCGGGGTGACCTGGAAACATCCGAAGCAGCGCAGCACGAACCGGCGCACCTCTCGGATTCTTCGTCCTTCGATCGACACCAGCTCCAGGTTCATCTGCTTCAGCACGTTCTGCATCGTGAAGTCGGTGGTCATGCACGCCACCTGGGAACGCGAGGGGGCGGGGAGGAGCACGAGAGGATGTCAGTCAGCCAATAATCAAACGCGAACACCGTTCGTCTAGAAGCAGGCACAATTGATCGGTATACTGACAGAGTATTATGCTTTCTTATCGAGATGGTAAGGCATTAGTGAAACAATGGCGAAAAAACAACCAATTCAATCAGTTGTCTCCGACCAGGGTGGGCCGTTACGTGGAAGATTAATTATGAGGGTCACCAAGGATTTCGCGACACAGCGTTACGGGTCAGAACCCGTGCCAGTGATGATCCAAGTGATGAGGACCGCTTAGTGTTGGTTCTACTTCTAACCTCTGAAATTCGATCACTGAAAAAATCCAGACTAAATAAAAACAAAGCATATTAACCCTCGCATGTGTGCGGCGTTTGCCAGCTTCTAATGTGTAGGGGGGGGGGGTCGGTTGGAACCCCCCCCCCCTTGCCGTTTGGCCCCTGATCGAGCTAGAGCTTCGCGGAAAAAAACGAGCGTGTTGCCCGTGACGAGAGGAAGCCGATGATACCCAATTTTAAGGTCCTAGGTCATTGGGTGACCTTCCAGGTCAGGTCAATGACCCAAAGTCGGGAAAATCGGGACCTGTTAGAAAGTCGTAAAGTGTGGCTTCTAAGGGGTTTTTCGGGGTGCTGATCACGAATATCGTGTTAGTTTTGACCACAGATGATGTCTTTAAGCATTTAGACTAGGTCGGGTCAGGTCAGGTCAGGTCAACCAGTAGGCATCGTGACGGGTATTCGTAGTACGTGTCAACCGCCTCTGACAGCTTCGTAACATGTTACGAAGGCACCAAAACTACTTCGTAAATGTTCAAATGGTTGCTAAATTCGAATTCAGCTCCAAAAACTAGCCTAGAAACATGTACAGCTCGAAAAAGTGAACCGAGGTCACCCGAGGTCACCAAAGGTCAATGACCTGACCTGACCTTCAGGTGACCTTGACACCCACCCTAATGCATGGAAGCAACATCAAATCACATGTTTCAACGTTTGAAACCACGAAAAGCTTGCAAACGCGCGGCTAATGCGAGCCGACATACGCAGAATCGCGATTCTGGCCAAACATGGTCTCGGAAAAGAGGTCACAGGTCAAAGGTCATTTGGGTCAGGGTCATGAAATTTTCAGGGTAGGTGTAAAATTGATCAATGTGAGGGTACTGAAAGTTTCGTCGCGATCGGCCGCTTTTTACGCGAGTTATTCGCGAAAAAACCATGGGGGGGTCCATCCGACCCCCCCCCCCTACACATGCGAGGGTTAAGCATAAAACGGATTAAGTCAGGGTTATCTCACCTTAACGGGCTCTTCAACTTCACCGGCCTGAGCGTTCATCTCGTTTTTGGCGGCCTGAATGTTGCCCGGTGTAATCCAACCATCGTCCTCGTCCTCCTCCTCCTCCTCCTCTACCTCTTCCTCCTGCTGCTCATCGCCGTCCTCCTCGTCTCCCTCTTGTGACTCAATCGCATCTGTATCTTTTGTCTCTTTGATCTCAGTTTCTTCAGCATCCTCATCAGTGTCGCCCTCCTCAGGGTCCTCCTTCGCGTCAAACATCTCCTCGCTGTTGGGGTCATCTGTCTCTGCCTCTCCTCTCTTTCCTTCCTCCCTCTCTCCCGCGGTCTCGTCGCCACCGGGTGCCGGAGCCTTCCCATCCCCATCCTTCACCTTGTCACCGTCCTGCGCATCAGTTCCCGTTCCGACCTGCTCGCCGTCACCTCTGGCCTTCTCGTCGTCCTCTGTCACAGCGAGCTCGCCAACCTTCTCCACGAAGCCGACCGGCAGCTGGCCGAGTTTGTGCTCTCTCGGGTGGTACAGCTTGGTGTCGGTGCGCGAGGCGGCTGGCAGTAGACGGATGTGCCCACCGCCGACAGTCTCGCGCGTCACCTGTAGTGCCAGCGCCAGCACGCGCACGTCCGTGGCGGAGAGAAATCGCAGCTCGCCCGTCTTGCGCGCAAAGTCAGAGATCTGTCTGATGCACTCATCGCTAGGTTCTTTGAGCTTCAGCTCATAAGGCAGAACCTGAAGCCGATCCCGAGTGGCCTTGTCGCGAATTTCTGACACGACCTCGGGAACGGTGAGCACATTTTTGGCCATGTGATGGAGTGGCACATTGCGGAGGAAGGCTCCAGAGTCTGCCACCAAGTTGTCAATGTATGGTTCTTGAATCATCTTAAATCCTTCAAATGTTGTCCAGGTCCAGATCAGTTACTGCAAAAAGTCAACTCAGTCAACTGAAAGACATTGATGTGGAAATATGACATTGGTGTGCATCTTTGCCACAAGATAAGCTTTTACAGCACAAACAATATATAGCAATAAATATACACTCCTTTCGATCCCACAGTCTTCACTGCAACCATTTTATCATGTCTTTTATAGATAATTAGTATGCGGTCTAAATGGCTGAATGCATGGTTATGGAATATGAATTGGTTCTTCATTCCTTTCATAAGTTTGATTCAGGAAGTTTGAATTGGGCTCTACATCAACGTAGCTAATAGCTACATGTTCTAGAAATACTTTCAATTTGCTGCCTATTAGTTATTGAGCTTATAACTATTTACCAAGTTCTATACAATGTTGAAAAGTGACATATTTGACACAACACCCTCATTTAAAAACACTTCTTATTATAGGTCACCACACTGACTGTTGTCATTCAACAATATCATTTACCAGAGGTCTGCCTCCTCAAACATCAGCATTCAGCAGATTTCTCGAGCCAACCAAAAGTGTCCTATAGGTTAGTCATAATAGCTTTGAACTGTGGTGAGAGTGCATGTTCCCAATACAAAAGTCCAGGGTTCAAGGAGACATTGGCAGTAAATGTTTGAGGCTCTTGACAGCCTGTAATTGTCAGCCAACTGCAAAAGTCACTAGTCAAGGAGGCTGACTGGCAGTATACAGCTCAATGTGCATGCATTTAGATTTAGAATCTAATACTATTGACCAGGAATTGTGTAATATGAGGGTTGATAGCTGAAGGCAGGCTGACGCAATACGTTTAACAGGGTGCTGTACATATCTTTACATGTACATATCTTTAATAGATCCGTCTATTAAAAATGACTTACTTTATCATTTGCATTTGCCTCCCATTTCCCTGACTTGCAATAAGTGAATAGGTACCTATATTTACCATTACCCAGTGAAACTACACCATTTTTGATCAATTTAAAGACAAATGAAGACCAATTTAAAAGTTGATTTCCTAATTAAAGCAACTGAAAGACAGGACAGACAGACTGAAAGACAGACACATGCTATTCAGCTTGAAACACCTGTCACATGATTTCACATGTGTCAGGTTTTAAGCTGGTGTCACATGTAACCCATCTTTAAATTGCTTTGATTAGGAAATCAACTGTTTTAAATTGGTCTTTATTTGTCTTAAAATGGATCAAAAATGGTGTAGACTTGTTGGGAATTATTACTGAACTCATCAACCAAACAAATGTCATTTATCACTATGCTGCTTCATTGGTGAATGGTGTTTAAAACATTTCAAAAATATTATTCATCTCTTTTATACAACATGCAGCAACCAGTTTTCCCAGTCTGAGTCATACTCTCCACGAATCTCGTGCTGTTTTAAAAATATAAACCGTGGGTCAAATTAAAAAATGGACCATATCAATAGGTACCTAGGTATCTACTTAACCTGTAAAGCTAACCCAGGATCCTTACTGTTAAGTGCCCTGCCGCTGCATGCAATTAAGGTAATGCCAAGCACAAACCATACTGACACAAGATGCGAACATCAAAATGGCCATAATATTGATATATAATCATAGATTCCATTCAATTGATTCAACACACCCACCGGGCTCTACAACGCACCCAAGGCTAAATAAACCGCACCTATTTACGTCGGGATGCACGTGGACGTGGCTTCACTGGCTCCATTACTCTACAAGAAGCGATTCTAGCGAGAATGGTAAAAGTGATCAGAAGCCAGAATTTAGTTACGTCACGAGCACAAATGATATTGACCCACCAAAAACATATGGTTATAACTCTACCAAAGAAATATATGAAAAAATGAGTTCACTTTACGGATCTGAAATAAGCAAAGACTACACCTGCTTTATGACCTGCAGATTGCAGATTGAGATGGCCCTCAGCCTGAGCCTGCTTCTCAGCTTCGCGCTGAATGCGCGCTGAGGCCTCGGCCTTGGGTACGTAACAGGCCCAACAAATGAAATCCCGCGGATACAGCATTGCCGCCGAAATTGTCTGTTCTCAGTCAGATTCGCAACATAACAAATCGCTTCCATATGATAAAAAAGCTTCATTGCAAAGAAAACGCTCTTGACTTTTTTGCAAATTTTTATAACAAATTGAACATATTTGATTAAAAATCCAACATAAATGAGAAACATTACATCATTCTTTGCTTCAAATGAAGTTCCTTGATCTAAAACAGATTCAACTTTTTTTTGTTTGTGACTGTTTTTCAATTGATGCAGTGAAAGAAAGGCAAACCTTTGTTTACGTTAGGAGACAAGCGGTGTCGGTTATTCACACTCCTCACGCTTCTGTAGCTTTATTGCAAATTGTTGGCAAATTGAATATATCAATATATATTATAACAGAATATATGATATATAGTTGTGGGACCTTGTTGCTAATCGTAGATTATTGGCATATGTGTTTGGTGTTGCAAGACGTTGTCTTCTTGGTCTTCTTCTAAACGTTAAACGTAGCTCAGGAAGAAATCCAGGTGGGTTTGATCAGACTGGTTAATTGGTTCACCTTTTTTGGATCGATTCAATCATTAAAGGGACCCTCCCACCTTCAAAAAAGTTTATGAATTGACATGATAGTGATGTCGCTCGGTTCAGAAAGAGCGAAAACGAATATCTACCAAATGTCATCAAAAAATATTCACCGGTTTTCAAGATATTAGACTTATACTTTTGTTTACTTTTTGGGATCTCCGCTGTTCCTAGCGACTTTATTTAAAAGTGCGGCATTTGTTGCGCGCGGTAGGCAGACAACTGAACCAGTGACAACTGAACCAGGGACAACTGAACCAGTAAAACTGAACCAGTAAAACTGAACCAGGGACAACTGAACCAGTGACAACTGAACCAGTGACAACTGAACCAGCGACAACTGAACCAGTGACAACTGAACCAGTGACAACTGAACCAGAGACAACTGAACCAGTGACAACTGAACCAGTGGACAACTGAACCAGTGGACAACTGAACCAGTGGACAACTGAACCAGTGGACAACTGAACCAGTAGACAACTGAACCAGTGACAACTGAACCAGTGACAGCTGAACCAGTGACAACTGAACCAGTGACAACTGAACCAGTATGACAACTGAACCAGTGACAACTGAACCAGTGACAACTGAACCAGTGACAACTGAACCAGTATGACAACTGAACCAGTGACAACTGAACCAGTGACAACTGAACCAGTGACAACTGAACCACTAACCAGTAGCCCAGCAAGCAATTTTACTCCGGGCCCAAGCAGGCTGAAGTGCGGCTTGCCCGAGATTTTTAGTCGGGCTGAAGTCGGCTAGCGCTTGGGCTAAAGACTTAAGTCGGCGTATGACACAAAAATGCCGACTTAAGCCTATGATCTGCCGGAGGTATGCCCTCTGGGCCTCTCGGCGAGCTCAGGACAGCCGTTGTTTAGCCCTAGTTGTGCGACGTTTGGCGTAAGCCCGATGTAAGCCCGAGCAGTGAATCCATTTATATACCGGAGATTCCTCTGGGCCCAGGCGGGCTGAACTCTGCCAAGCCCACGTTGCGTGCCCTGTCTGTCCCGAGTTAGGCCATCAAAGTGAATATTATTTATACGTTGCTAACTATTCGGGCGTCCCAGGTGGGCGTAACGGTTACCACACCAGTTCGCGACCACCAGGCTCTGTCAGCCCTGTCAGCCGTCGTACGGCTCTCGGACGGACACTCTAATAGATCGGACACAGATCAATTGGCAGACCGGCAGATTGGCGCAGACCGTCCGTACAGCCACGCGCTACCTTATACCTATACAGCGCAGTACGACATTAGTTGTCCACTGGTTCAGTTGTCCGCTGGTTCAGTTGTCCACTGGTTCAGTCGTCCACTGGTTCAGTCGTCCACTGTTTCAGTTGCCATACTGGTTCAGTTGTCCACTGGTTTAGTTGTCCACTGGTTCAGTTGTCCACTGGTTCAGTTGTCACTGGTTCAATTGTCACTGGTTCAGTTGTCCTGGTTCAGTTGTCACTGGTTCAGTTGTCACTGGTTCAGTTGTCATGGAACCGTTGCGCGCAATGCAGCATATACCACCGCGTGCTACAAAACGTTTTAGTCAAACATTTAAAAATTGTTAGATATCTGCGCTGACGTCACACATTCAGAGGGGTCTTCCTATGCATTAGCCCCTCTGAATCAAAATGCTGCAATTTTGAAATTCAATATTTCCGATTTAAGGTATTTCTCAAAATTGTGACTTGTGAGTGCCGAAACCGGTAATTGTGGGCCAGGGACCCCATTTTGGCTATCTCAACTCAAATCTAATGTTAAGGTGGGAGGGTCCCTTTAATTCATTTGATTTTTGTCTGGTTCAATCACCGTTTGATTCCTTAAAAAAGTGGTGTCATACTGGCCACCTGTCCCGGTTCTACAACCTACAAACCTACAACCTAACAACCTAAATGGCAATGATAGTCTCATAGCCCATAGGTACTACCAGTACCTATCATTTGCCATTTGGCCTATTTGTTTCATTGTTGTTCATTGTTATTAGGTATTTATACTTTATAGATTGAACGAGCTGAATAAATATTGATATTGTACCTAATTGTAATTTATGTGGTTGGCTTCTTCACAGGTTTGACTATGGCTGATGATGGTGATGCCAAGAAAGACGAGGGAGAGAAGAAGGTGGTGCACACATATCCACTTTGCCGGGTTAGTGCAGCTTTCTTTTATCCATCTCGCATCAGGTCAATTCAGAGAAGTAGATGTCATTTGGAATTTTTAAGATCTTTTCCATGTTCTTGCAGATGCTGTCTGAAGGGCATAAGAATCAGGGCAGCAGAGTCAGAGTCAGAGTCAGTCAGAGTCGACAGTTCTGCCTGGAGTTGGAGTCTAAGCCGCCAAAACCTTACCGACTTCGACTCTAGTCAGAGTTAGCGCTGAATGGCTCAACGCCTTGCGCTTCACCTGTTTGATCGACAATACTAAGCTCGTCGACTTTGCAAATTAGATTTTGTTGAAAAAAGGCCATATGCTTGTTCTGGACGAGCGTGTTCAGCGAAAGAAGCAGAAGACGGCGGACGCACCAGAACCTGCCCCTAACTCTGCATGCTACCTATTTATAAAGCATATTTGCACTGCAAGGCCGTGAAACGCACCCAAGATTGTATCAGGCAAAATAAAAACATCTTCAATATGAACATTATTACCATAATATGGATTTTAGGAGTAACGTCCGGAGTCGCAGTCGAAGCTGGAGTCAAAGTTGGAGTCGATTTTTGAAGCCGGAGTCGTAGTCGGAGTCGCCCGAAAATCCATCGACTCCGCAGCCCTGATCAGAATAGCCATTTTCCGCTTGCGTTTCCATAGGATCGGAAGTCGGAACGTCAATACCTGGTAGTGTCATCTGCTGAAACCTTGCCTAGAATGGAGCATTACGCTGCCATAATGCTACATGGAACGTGCCGTGTTGTGCACGTTTTCAACTCATGGGAGGAGGGAATGGAGAGGGGAATCCGGCATACAATTCAGTTTAAGACAGCCAATGGGGCGAAAATGGTTACTTTTTCCACCGTTTACCCATAGGTTTCTCTATAGCAGCAGGAATCACGTTCGAAAGGACTGGAGGCTAGGAAGTTTTTTTTTTTTGCAAAATTGCTATTCGGTCACGGGTTAAACGGTTACAAACATACTAAGAAATTAGTTAATTCCTATAGGTGGAGCTGCTGCACACGCTTATTGCCGTCACCAGTAAGCGGACGACGACCGCCGTCCCATCCCTCCGACCTCCCTCTCGCCCCGCTGGCTGCAGCCGCGCGTCAGGCTGCGGTCTGTATGAGGTGTCTTTAATATCGCAGGCTTGCCCTTGACAAACCCTAGTGCCTTTGCTTTCGACAGTGCTTTAGATGCCCCACAGGCTTTAGAATGCGTTCCCATCTACATTCGCTGACTGCGACTATATATAATGTCCGGTTGTTTAATTCCTGTTGATCGGTTCTGGCGCCCGTTTCGCCATTGACGCCATATTTCGTTTGATTTCTGCCCAGCAATCGGACATGCCTGAGGAGATGAGGACCGAGGTGATGGAACTGTGCGTCACGGCCTGCGAAAAGTACTCATCCAACAACGAGGTAAGCAACATTGGATCGCAGGACACTGTTTTGACGCAAGCCGACATCAGGGATGCAATAAAAGTGATTATTAGGTACCCATTAGTCATTACCTACCATTTTATACAACAATGTTCCAAAAACATCTAGTAAAATGAAAGACACATTCAACAAAAATAATCAATTCCTTGTAATAAACGGGCTTCTGAGCATAGCATAGTCAAAACATTTGTTTGTCGATCATCGTCTGTCTGTTATGAGGGTGTGAAGCGTAAGCATAAGCAGCAATTTTCTAGTAAACTGTTTGGCACCGTAGTTATTGTTTGCATCACGGATGAGCATTACCGATGTAACTCATCTTTTCAGAGTGCCGCCCGGATGATAAAGGAGGCGATGGATAAGAAGTACGGAGCCCCGTGGCACACGGTGGTCGGCGAGGCGTTCGGCTTCGAGGTCTCTCATGAGTGTAAACACCTTCTCTACATGTTCTTCGGAGGAAATATGGGTATATGTGTGTGGAAATGTAACTAAGTGTCCTGCATCAGGGATCATGTACTTTACCTCGCTCTGGTTAGTTGGCTATTAAAAAGCGTCATTTTGATGATCTGGTATGCACATGAAACACGTTCATGCAAATGTGTCGTCCACCCATTACTGAACATTCCATTGGATGGTGCATCCTGCTGATGATAATTTGTACATTTTGTACAGTTCAATGCGAGCGATATTCTGCTGTGATATTCTCCGTTCATTGTTGTTTTTATATTTCCAAAGCGTGTTCAACTTTATATCATAGTGATGTTTCTTTTGAATAAATGTTCCTTATGATGATATTTTTTTTTTTGTTAGAATAGGCATTCCAAAATTTCCAATTTACTCTTCTGTTTCTGTCGATTATGCACCAGTAGGTATTCGTACACACCAGATTTACTCTTTTTTTCTTCATTTGGGAACAATCGGCCTCTACTATGAACGTCAAACCCCTTGAGACCCCACTTTTTTGCGATAATTTTTAAATGCGTCAACTTTCGTGGACAATATTCTGGCAATGTATGTTTCCGAACCTGCCGAAACTTTTATTACTAAGGTATTTTGACGCCAAATGATTATGGAAGGTACTTATCATTCACTCGTAATGTTAACCCGCGCACCGACGGGGGTCTGCGCCAACTTAGTACCGACGGGGGGGGGGGCGGATGACCGCCCCCCCTGAGATCTCGAGAACGAAGCAAGATAGCGACAAGCGGTAAACGGCATCGGATACGCACGGTCAAGATCTACAATTTTTACTAAGGTCATTTTCAGGTCAGGTCAAAGATGACGTCACAGGGGTCGAAAAAGTCAAAATGGCGGCGCTAAATATGGAGAGAGTTTTTCTCGAATAACTTTCGAATTAGTCAAGATAGGAACAAACTAAGGGCATCATCGTGATCCTCTCGTCAATCCGCATCGAATGATATATATGTTGACCTCGAAAGGTCAAGGTCAAAGGTTGACCTCAGGTCACGTGACCTCGAGGTCATCATGTATATCATTCGATGCGTCTTGACGAGCTGAACACAATGAGACCATCCACGCGTCTGTATCTTGTTCCTGTACGGAGTTATTGGCCAAAAACCTTTGGTGACCTTTGATGACGTCACATGACCTCACAGCTGCCCAACAGCAAAACAGACCTCAAGATAGTGAAGGTTGATCGTATATGAAGTCATGTATGGTATATGGGGCCATTCCGACCCGTTTTAGTGGTAAAAACAGGGAGTTGATTTTCCCCCCCATTGACTTATAATGGGGAGGTCGCGAAATTGACCTGACCTTAGGTCACCGATATCAAAATTCCGAGATATACAAATTGTAGCTACTAATGACCTAATAACATCCTGCGACTTTAAAAGGCCTCCGACATCTACTGTAGCTCTGGCACGGTGACAAAGTTGCAAAAAAGTGACTTGAGGTTGGGTCATTCAAAGTGACCTGGTGACCTGACCTTGAAAGGTAGGATGTTCAAACTTGCACACCATGTGTAAAAATGATAAGGGAATAGTCATACCAAATTTCGCGGCGCTACGCGCCGCGGTTTTCCCGCTATTCGCGAAAAACCTCAGGGGGGGGGCGGATATCCGCCCCCCCCGTCGGTGCGCGGGTTAAGGTCAATTCAGGCCCGGGCAGAGGCTTGCGCTCGGCCACACTCGAGCCCCGCCACCAGCGCCATCTGCTCTAAATGCCATCTACCAGCGCCCGCTACCGCTACCAGCTACCGCCCACCATCAAGCCTGAATGGAACGAGAGACGCGAGTGACCGGTCGCCGGGCAAGGAGCGCCGGAGGGGTAGGGCGGAGCTTAGCGCTGACGTCATTACGTGGCTCCGCCCCATGAGAGCGTAGCCTCTACCCAAACAGCAGATTCGTTCCGTGAAATTTAACATTACGAGTGAATGAGAAGTACCTTTAATAATCGTTTGGCGTCAAAATACCTTAGTAATAAAAGTTTCGGCAGGTTCTGAAACACACATTGCCAGAATATTGTCAACGAGAGTTGACGCATTTAAAAATTATCGCGAAAAAGTGGGGTCTCAAGTGGTTTGACGTCCATAGTAGGTCATTATGTAGAGGCTGGAGCGGTGAGGAGAAAAGCATTACCTCCTATGAAGCACCGAACATATCAATGTGTGATATTACCTGTTGAGTCATGGTATGTGAACAAGTTCACTCATCTCCAGGGCTGCGGAGTCGGAGTCGGAGTCGGAGTCGGAGTCGGTCGGAGTCGACAGTTGTGACCGGAGTCGGAGTCGGAGTCGGAGTCGATTTTAGAAACCCGAGCCGGAGTCGGAGTCTGAGTCACCGAAAATCTGTCGACTCCGCAGCCCTGCTAGGTCTGCGGAGTCGGAGTCGGGAGTTGGAGTCGGTCGGAGTCGACAATTCTGCCCGGAGTCGGAGTCGGAGCTGGTTTTTGAAAGCCAAAGCCGGAGTCGGAGTCGGAGTCGGAGTCGCCGAAAATCCATCGACTCCGCAGCCCTGCTCATCTCAAACCATCTTCTTTTTACCTGGGGCTAACCTTCGAGAAATATTCTGGAGATTACTAAATTTAGCCTGTTTTGAGAACGATTTGTGTGAAATTCCAGGATGCATGAGCATTGACATTCACATTTCTGAAGACCAAGCAGCCAGAACTGGCACATTTTACCTGGAGATGAGAGCTGCACATTTTTCTGTCATAGCTGGGATACTGAATTGTACCTGCAGCCATTGGGAACTTCTGCAGCTCTGCTTCCCTGGTTACACAATAAGGATAAAGATCATGCCTTAGTCTAACTACATATAGCTTAGCTGCCATAAAATCATCTGCTTACTTCGTTCTACATCTAGCATGGAATGAAAACTTAGGGTCACAGGCAGAGGTAGTATAATGCATGCTATTGCTGCATTATCAATGATAAGCTGTCCCTACCTAGCTGGCAATTTTTTTCAGCTCTATTTGAATGTAAGTCCACTCTAAAGCATCAGTTTATAAATTATATTACAATGTCATGTGACATCCATAATGAAGAATACATGAAAATGCTGAATGAGTATATTGCTGATCAGCTTTCTTCATTGTTTTAATTACATGTTGACGGCTGCGGGCTGACGCAATGGTTGCATACCCTAGCTCATATTATTTGCACAGTATTGTCAAACAGTCAGGTGGGCATCAATCCATAATAACAGATAGGTAGCTACATATGACTAAGTGCCAATATATATATGTAAATGTCACCATCCATGAAAAAATCCATGTTAATATTGATGCTTCTTGTTATTGACTATAAAACAGCAAAGAAAATGATGATGAGAATGTATTCTGCACTTAGAAAGCCAGCTTTTTCATGAGCAGGTATATGTGGTTGTCTTGTTCGAATCCGTGCAAATTGTTGGCATCACCCTGAAGCCTCATCAGGAGTCCGCCAAAGGACACATAGGCTGACAGTCGACCGCTTCCATCTCCAGTCAGATCGTCTCCCTCGATCCTGTAAATCTTGCCGTGCATCACATACTCGAAGCTGTCCGCCCGAGATGGGCCTGTTTCTGATGCATTGAACTCTGAATCCATGGGGTACCCATCTTCTTTCAAAGTCTTAGCAAGAACGAGTCGGAATTTATCACCAAGCTCCATGGGATAGATCCACACATTGATGTCTAGAATCAAATCCATTTTGAATGACTCTGACTCGCAGTGGAGTCGGCTTGTCCGCTCGAACTTCTTTCCTCCAGGGTCGATATCCTTCACATCGAAAATGTCTTCAAATAGTACCCCAGCCATGAGGAAGTCTAGCAATCAAAATAATTGCACAGTCTTGATGTATATTCTTTTCAGCTACCAATTATTGACACAAATAACTTCTATAGTAACCATATGGCCTTGTAGTAACCCATGCCTCTCGGGACACACGACAGAATGCGGCACATGACGCGGAACGAGGAATGATCGGTTTTGTATATTGTGCGCCATTATTGTAAACAATATTGTTCTAAAACACTGCGGTCAAAATGAACGCACGTTCTACTTGCGTTCTACACTATTCCACCGCCAGGCCTGCAACTAATCCATGTAACTCAGCAACCACCGGAATGACAAGAACCAAACAGTGGCGCAGCCAGGGGGGGGGGGTGAAAGGGGTGAGATCTCACCCCCGTCTCTTATCCTAGGGGCCCACCGTCGATTCGAACTGTAACGTTATGCAGCCCGACAATTTTTTATCACTAATGTCAAGGTCCGTCATAGGACTGAAAAACAGTTTTCAGGCCTGATACCCCCCCCCCTTTAGGATTTATAGTCCCATTTTATGATTTAAGGGGGTACATCCAAGGCCCGATTGAACTAATCCAAGGCCTTGGAGGGCCCGTTCCATGGCATGAGAGGGCCATTTCAGGCCTGAGAGGGCCCATTTCAGGTCTGTGAGGGCCCATTTCAGGCCTGAAGGGGTCCATTTCAGGCCTGAAGGGGTCAGTTGAAGCTTGACAGGGCCCATTTCAGGCCTGAGAGGGCCCATTTGATGCCTGATAGGGCCCATTTCAGGCCTGAGAGGGGCCCATTTCAGGCCTGAGAGGGGCCCATTTCAGGCCTGAGGGGGCCCATTTCAAGCTTGATAGGGCCCATTTCGTGCCCTAGAGGGCCCGTTTGAGGCCAGAGAGGGCCCGTTTGAGACCTGAGAGGGGCCCATCTCAGGCATAAGAGGCACCATTTCAGACCTGAGAGGGCCCAGTTACGGTATGAGGGGGCCCTTTTTCGACATGATAGGGACCATTTCCGGGCTGAGGGGGCCCATTTCAGGTCTGAGAGGGCTAATGTCAGGCCTGAGAGGGCCCATTTCAGGCCCTTGTGGTCCTATTTGAGGCCTGAGAGGGCTAATGTCAGGCCTGAGAGGGCCCATTTCAGGCCCTAGAGGACCTATTTGAGGCCTGAGAGGGTCCACTTCAGGCCTGAGAGGGGCCCATTTCAGGTCTGAGAGGGCCCAGTTCAGGCCTGAGAAGACTCATCCCAGGAATGAAAGGATCATCCTATGTGTGGGAGGGTCCGTACTCCGTGCCTGGTCTGGGTCTGAGAGGGCCTATCCCAATCCTGATTGAGCGATATCATGTTTGATATAGGTCAACTCACCACACGTATATTGATGGTCTTAGGTCTAGTTCATGTCTAATGGGCCCATCTCAAGACTCAGATATTTTATGCTTCAGGAAGCCTACCCCAAGCGTGAGGGGGCCCATAGAGGTTTTTGAGGCTCATGGAGGTCCCGCAGTACGATATGTCAGCCTCTGAGAAAGCCATGCAGGGCCCTTAAGATGCCAAGCCGACATCTGAAAATTCCTCTTCTCTTCAGGCCTGTGCCTGCCTCACCGCCCGGCCTCACCCTGACGTCTAAGGGTTTGACGCCTAGTAGAGGTCTGCACCGGCCGGCTGCAGCCGCGGCTGGCTGCAGCCCCACGGCTGTGGGCCGGGGCGGCTGCAAATATCTCCAAGAACACGGCTACGGCTGTGGCCACGGCTGTGAGATTTCAAGCTCAATCTTAAGTACTCAAATATAAAATTTTAAATCCTTAATCTTACATTCTGATAAGCAGCCTAGCCTGTAAAAATCATGCAAAGGATGCCCAGCAATATTGAAAGTGGTGAAGCCTTTGAAAACCTGTAATGGTTTTACCATTTGCTGTAGAAGAGTTTGCACTCTGGTACAGAATACTAATTATAGGCACCAATTGTTCCTTCATCATCAATAGCTTGACAGTTTCAGAAAATGCAACATGTTGCTGTCACATCCCCCTCAAATCAATCTCAATCTTACCTGGTCATTAGGAGAGCACCTTACAGCTATTGAAGATGAGCGTTCAATAATTCTTTCAGGTAATAGAAAAAGAAATCACGCCTAGGTAAAGGCAGGTAAAGGCTTCATAAAATATTATCTAAAATAACTCTTAGATGTACTTCTGGATTTTCGGCAAGTCCAATTACATAATATAAAACTGGCGCTTTATGTTCTAACTGGCGTGTGAGTGACCGCTAACAGAAAATGCTGATCAACGAAGCCAATGGAATTAGATTATAAGTGAGTATGAACCTTATTTACGGTTAATTCACATGATGGTGGAAACCCTGAACACGTAATTCACATGACGGTGAAAACCCTGAACACAATATTTCTTACGCGAGCTGTTGATTTTACTAATATAATGACGTCTTCCTCTAAAAATGTAAAAATTTGATAATTGATATTTGTTTGAGAGCAAATTTTTAACTGTATAGCATTATTATTGATTAATTATGATTTCTATGGCTGTTTATGGTGACACAAAACAATTTATTGCCACTTCTTTGCTTTTTACGTCATTTGACTCAAGTAAAATTTTTGATTGAAAGAGCAATCGCACGTCCTTGGGGATTTGAGCGAAGATCATTATTTGGAAAAATCAAAATAGATGAATGTTTTTCTTTCTTGGATGCTCACTAGTGTTTTGATGCCTTGCATATCAAATTAGTTGGAGACTTGCTCAGAAGGTTGCTTCAAGCCTGGCATATCACACCCCAGAAAATATGCAGGGTAAGAAAGAAGCAAGAGTTTTGACTAGACAATCACTGTTTGTCCATCAACTTCAGTTTCATTTTCCATACCTAACATTGATAATGAAAAGCATCAGGGTCTGTTGTTCTGTCCCACAACCATGCTTCAGGATTTGGCATTAGATGTCTATTCTACACTGCTAGTGCTTCTATTCTGGTTCGTTGTTTATGTTTTCTGTTGATGTAGGTACCTACCTTACCTAACCTACCCATCTTTCTTAACCCCTTGCAAGGGCTTGTGTAGGCATGCGATGCGCATCAGGCTTCAGGCCTTCGGCCTAAAGCCAGATACACAACCACTTAGCCTATGATGCTTCATGAGCTTGAGAATCTATAGCCCATTGCAATGTGCTTTTGGCTATATGTTTCAACTAAAAACAACTTATTATATACTATTTGGTTGCATTTCATCACGGCCGGCTGACGGCTGGCTGCCCACAGTTTGCCACGGCTGTGGGCGGCTGTGGCTGTGGAGCCACGGCTGCGGGGCGGCTAGGCTGTGGAAAATTGCAGCCGTGCAGAACTCTAACGCCTAGGTATTCACCAGGACTCCACACCGGTCCATGATGGCTCCAAACTGACACCTGAGGCTCCTGCACTGGCTTTTGAGGGGCCCACCGACCTCTGATAGTCACCACGCAGGTCTCAAAAGACCATGTCGATTGTTGATATCTAAACCCCCAAGTCTTGGAAGGCCTGTGCTCTATGCAGATTCTTGAGGGCTTTACGTGGGCTTGTAAACATCCCGAACTGGCTCTAGCCTAGCTCGACCGCGCCCCGCAGAGCAGGGCCCCAGGCTTTCCAGTTTTACGCCCTTGAGGGGTGTTTGAATATTCCCTTCTAACCTGACTCCAGGGTCACGAAGCGACAAGTGCGGCGGTAGGCGGCTTTCTAAAGAGCGTCGAAAATCATGGAGAAATTACTTCAGTCATGTTGCAGTTCAGACCAAAGCCCACGTCATCATCATCATGTTCATCGAAGGAAAAGTTTCGCCTATTTCGACACTCGAGGACATAACTATAAAGCTGAAGCGCGCTGAAAGTGGGTTTGATAGCTCTCTAACGCGTGCAATCAGCCATGGGGGGGGGGGGGCGTATCGGCCAAAACCGATCGTAATTTAAGAAGGCTAGAAAGACGAGAAAAGCAACAGATAGCTGTAGGATGCTTCAGAATCGTAGCGGTCATTTTTCGATTAGGTCATCGCTGAGGTCATTGAAGATGAAATTATCATAAAATTATGATAAACACAAAGACAAGATTACGACGAAAAAATTATTGTTTTTATATTTTCACAAATAACCGTATAACTCGTGAACCAAAGAGCTAGAGCTTCGCGGAACAACTCATTCGATAGGCCTTTCAAAACGCTTCATCGCTTATAAGATTTGACCTCAATGCCTCATGTCAATGGTTTGGCAACAGAGCAGAGGGCAAAACCATCTAAATAGTCGCATTTTACCAAAATAGTTTTGCTAAGAATTTTTGCAAGAACTTTGGTGAGAAAAATTATGAGACATTTACTTTGTCATCATTCTCTCGTTAACATGCATCGAATGTTAACACCTATAATTTCACATAAAAAGTTCAACTTCAAAATGTGACCGCAGATCAAGGTCATGCCCTTACTTGAGAAGTTCATGATGGTCATCAACTGATCCGTATGGATGATTAACACCTTCAAGAAAATTTCATTACTCTACCTCTATCAAAGGTAATAGTCGAAAAACTGATGTTGAGCTTTTTTAAAAGCTTTTTGACCTAGCCCGGCCATTTGAGTGGCCGCTGGCCATCAATTGCACGCTCCATCAAATATGGGCAGAATGGTCGTGTTTCTGTAAATATGCTGTTGTTTTTTACGTGCCTCTTCAGATCAAGAGATATTTGTCCTTTTCCCCGATTTGGCTGGTAATGATCAAAACAATGAGCTGACCTTTCGTTGTTGGTAAGGGGCCCCCATTAGGTTGAGGGGGGCCCACTTTGCTGGGGGGCCCATCGCGAACGTCTCTCACCCCCGTCGCCAGAGTTCTGGCTGCGCCACTGGAACCAAATAATATATAGAAGAAAAATATATAGAAGACGACCAGCCTGCACTTTTCGTGCAGGCTGGTCGTCTTCTATATATTCTTTATCGATGTAAAGCCTATATCTTGTTTTTCCACTGACGAAGGCACTTTGTTGTCGAAACGTCTGGTCTTATTACATTGTTTTTGTACCTATTGTCATTGTCTGTGAGAAAAACGTAGACGGTCAGAAATGCAAACTTACCTGAACTGTGACGTCATCGGTTGCACCTAGGTAAATAAAATTGGATCACAAGGTAGCCCCCCG